ACTAAATTCATCTTCACAGTGCCTACAAAATATAACAACTTATGATACTTTTGTTCTTTAAAATCATGTGATTTCACAATGATAGCTTATAATACGTGATGATGCTGCGGTTCAATAAAGTGAATTTGCGAGTATCGCCTTCAACTTTCTTAGAGAGTGTAACAGAAGCGATTGAGGGTTTTGACTTTTGACTTTTACGTCTCAATTTTCTAGAAATCTTGTGAATATTATTGAATACACGCATGGTGGTTACTAAATTGGACGTAGAGATAAGAAAGACAACGGAGCTGAAGGGATTAAAAAGTAAAAGGATTAAAAAGTAAAAAAAAGTAAAAGATAACAGATAAGTCCAAATATTACAACATTCTGTGTTTCATCCCTTAGCTGTAAACATTCCTTGGTCTCTGTCTTTTATTCCTTAGCTGTAAACAAAGGCCGGACACAGTATGCCGATAGGAGTGGGAATCATCAGCACAGCCTCTTTCTCGCCTCATATAGCATAGCATTATGTCATCAAAAAATTGCATTAAATGATGAAGTAAAACAAAAAAATTAATCGGTGATGTGTAACCCTATAATTACTCATTTCCCTCCTCCCACTAATTCCTAACACTTTGATCTACTTCCCCCGTCTTATTAACTTCTAACAATTCCACCAAATTCTAAATGTTTCAATACTATCTACTTTCCTACTCACTAACTAACTTGCCCTCCCTTTTCCTCCACTAATTCTCCTTATATAAACCCTTCCTAGATCCAGACCCACAGTTAGTCAGTTAGTTAATTAGTCAGTTTGGAAATCGTCAGCTTCAACGCCGTCACGCCAAACGCTACCAGCCTCAGCTTCAACACTGTCGCCTCCTCGTCTGCCGCTGTTGTTCTGTTGCACAAATTCCAAGGCCTCCAGCGAAGGGGGAAGAATCCCCGGGTTTTCGTAAAAAGCTCCAAAAGCTCATCAGAAAAAAGGGAGATCCCCAAGAGTTTCAGGGAAAGCTCGTGGCATAAACGGAAACACCCCGCAACCCTGGTAGAATAGGCCCCGCCCACGACCCACCCCCTCCCCCCCTTCTCTCCCCCCCCAAGAAAAGGGACTAAAAATCTCTCGCAAAACAGAAAAAGACAACTGTTTCATGCGGCAATGAAGAGTGTGCATGCACTGTTGTGAAATTGCCCGAGGGTATTTTACCCGGCGAGTGACACGTAGAGCGAAGTGATTGGCGGCTCGGCCGGGAAGGGGGAGGGCAAGCTTTCCCGTGCTCCGCCCCCTCACCTTCGCGTAACCTCAGGACTACAGCGGCCCAGATGGAGGGGTAGGATGCTGCCCACTTTGGGTGTGATGTCCATGGAATGAGGGGGGTTTTTTGGCTGCTGCGCCCGCATGTGCTTCCGTTTGTGTTTTTTATGCGAAATTTATCGTTCCGGGAAGAATTTGTTCATTTTTCTGATGCAATTTTTGCACATATTTCAGCGAGACTTTCTTTTTTTGAGGTAAATTTGAGGTGCCATCCCTCTTTTTTTTTGAAGCATAAAACCAGGGTGAGGGATTTTTGCATTTTCGTTTTTTTTTTAGGGACAAATTTGAGGGATCAGTTAGTTTCCTCTTTTTTTGAGGTTAGTTTGAACGACAGGCTGCCTTTTTTTGAGGTAAATATGAGGGTTTCTAGGATGCTCTTTTGCAATTCCT